GACATTTGGTGACTTTTTTTTATCGGATGGTCTCATTTTTCAAGATATGTGAGCAAAAGAAACTAGGAATCCTGGGACGTGAAATCTATCAACAATGTAGAAAATACTAGACAACTGCGCTTGTGATTGTTTGGACTTTAGATGCCCTTAACTATCTATTTATCCTAACTTTGTGATCTTACAAAGCTTGACAATGCGGAATATTTTTGATGGCAATACCTACCCAAGCTTCAGCTTGTTAAACTCATCTTGGACCTTCTGCAGACGCTCTGTGCTTTCAGTTCGTTCCCGCGACCACTTCTTTAGTTGACTGAATTCCTTACTCAGTCTTGACTTTTCACCCGACAAACGATCCTTTTCCTTTTCTATCTCTGATAAATCCTCAGCGATCATTCGTATTCCTTCAGATGCTGATTCGTTCAATTTTTCACATTGTGTTTTGATTACCATCAAATTTCCCTGAGCCCACTTTTTCATGCTGTCGACCTTCCTCTCACTGGGCCCATAACGTCTCCTTATTGCTTGTCCAATTCCGGATCCTGAAATTTTTTTCACGAACGTGGGAGTAGAAGCACCAGCAGTAACACCAGCAGTAGCACCAGCAGTAGTAGCAGCAGCAACAGTTCCACTGTTTGTCACTGCAGCAACCATCATAGAAAAAAAAAATATGGAAAGCATATTGTCTCAAGATATTTGAATGAGTTCTTGTACAATTATAAATGATAAAAATGGTATTAGTGCTAGTGGTAGTGATAGCGGTAGTGCCAGTAGCAGTAGCAGTAGCAATAACAGTACTAATCAATAGCGGTAGTAGTCGTGGTGGCGGAGGATCTGGGGATTGGCGGTCGGGGTTATGGGGGTGGTAGAAGTTTCACCGTTCTGGTAAAACTATTTGAAAAAAATACTCTTTTCTACTTTTCCTCCGTAAAAATGTGTTAAGAAAGAAGCGATCAATGTGTATGACCTTCGAGGAGATGCCTCCATTCCCGAGAAGCTTATGCACAAAGCCTCCATCACCTACCAACAAACGGTGCTGCTGCTGCATAAACCACCAATGTTGGTGCTGTTGCAAGAGCTGCTGCAGCAGCTGCTGTGCCAGCTGCACAACCAAGCGCAAATCTCCAGAAGTTGTCCCTGGTAACGTAGGCATAAGGGTCTGTTAGGCTGCTATAACTGAAATCTTTCAGCGTAGCTTCATAGGGTGGCAAAAATTGTTGAGGAAAGTTTGTTTGAAAAGATCTGAGATTATCCTTCCGTTCCTGATACTCTTTTTCTACCTTTTCACTTTGTAACTGTAAAGCTGTGTTGATTCCATCTATCATCTTCTCGAATGCGTCAATAACTTCATTCTCACTTTCCACAGTGGGACAACTCTTGAAATTGTTGCTAAGTTCCTGTATCAATTCATTATTCTCCCCTTCACGGAGTCGAGGTCTTATCAGATCAATAAGCTTCTTCGCTTCCTGATCCACTGCTTTAAGGCTACATTGTTTTTCGTTCAAAGTGCAGATTTCGCCCTCTATCTTATTCAGATGACTATCTATGTATTCTTCCCTCGTCTCCAAGGTGCTTTTTATGTCTTCGAAGTCCTTTTTGTGTTCTGAAGTGAGATCTTCAGCTCGTTCTATTAGATTCATGTCTTTCTGCGCTTTAACAGTTTTTGCACTCTGTGCTAAATCTGTCTCAAACCTCAAAAAATCATTTCTTGCATCATTGGCTTGTGCGGAGGTCTCCTAGAAGACAATTATACAAAAACGAAGTTTTGATAAAGTGGTATTGTTTCTCTCGCAATGCACTAATTTCTCCCTTGATTAAAAAACCAGTCTTCCATAGGCGCTTAGGTCAAATGTTAACCTAGCTATATCAAGTGGTATGATTTACAGTACTTCTTCCGAATGCGAATGGGCGAGAGTGGAAAACAAACGCTGGACAGAATCAGAGCATGACAGAAACATTCGACTCCATAAAACCCAAACTTCTACCTTTCAAGGCACGCCGACAACACCAGACAACGCCTGCTTTAGAACGAAGTAAATTTCACTTCGTCTTATTTTGAATTTCGGCGTGGAACACATAATCCTTGTTTAGTTGAGTGAGCGCCAAGGCGTTAATTCATTTTGCGCAGTTGACCTCGAACGCGGTTCGCTTTTTTCTGCGGCTAAAACAATCTCAACCCAACTTTACGTATACGTTCAAAGTCGAAGGTAATAAAAATTCTACTTTCAATCTAATAAATCTTCAAACTTTTGGATACCTTCGCTACGATGTTATTTTGGCTACTACGCATTTGGAGTAACACTGTTGAAAATTTTTAGGGGCTTCTAGTTTCGCCATGAACGCTAACAACAAGCAGCTTACTAAGAAGGTCAGACGATGTGGTGGAACTCAAAAACGGAACAGAATAGTGCGCCCAATTTACAAGCAGTTAACCACTAAAAATTTATGTCAACGAAAATTATTTCGAAAGAAGGCTCCTGCCTACTCTCAGATTACTGCAACCTACGCCTCGGGTGCCAATTTTGTGCTCTTGCCACATTATGACGTATAAGTGATTAGTTAGTTAATTGAAGCGCGGCAACGCGGAGTCTTATGTTTTTCAATGTGTATATTTATAAATTGTAAATCGGTTTTTGTACCATGGGGAACTTTTTCGCTTCTCGTATGTCATTTCCTGCTACAATATGATTTTGTCACTTACAAACGCGCGCATCTTTCTGTTCGCTACAGGACTCTCCAATACCTCGATTTATCTCGCTTCCAGGTTTCAGGTAACTGATCAGATGGCGAGAATATGATTTGCACAAACCTCACCTTTTCTTTGGTAAAATGCTTTGTACCAACGAAATAAACCATGCGTTTTTCTTTCACGAAATGCTGAAACTCTCCTTTGTTTTTTTCTTGTAGTTGTTGCCTCTTGCCTTCTTCTATATCTCGTAAGACTTTATCCCATTTTGTGAAGACGCCAAAGTTGAACTGGCAATTCACATTGTTTAGCAGACCTGCAATCTAAAAAGCGAAACACAATAAATTAGGGAACAAATTTCTTTTATTTTACTGTTAATATATTTACTTAAACTTTGGTATGTTTGGTTTGTTTCCCATTTTCTGCCCTTTTTTGGGTTTGATTTGTTTTTGACGTTGTATGTCAAATTAATAATTCGTCTACTTATTTCTTTAATCTTTTCCTTCAATTGAAAAGAAAGCTGTTAATGACTCGCGAACGACCAGCTGAGAACTTACCAGGTGAATCAACCTGGTAGCGTCGTTAATTAAACAGCGACGAAAATAAGGTATTGTGCTTCAATTCTAAAATTTATTTTGATGGCCTACAATCGCTAGTGAGCGAGAAAATACTTCTCTTCTTCGTCCAACTAAGCTCTTAAAAACGATTCACGTGATCGATGTAAGGTTGTTCAGCAAAGCTTCATGATTAATTTGAATAGTGCCCCCCGCATACCAGGAGCGATAATAAAGTAACGTATACATCTCCTTACATCATGTATAGAAGGTGACCCGACATCCATCACAGCAACGAGTATATCTGCCTCCTTGCATGAGTCGAGAACAACTACGTCGCCAGCGGGGTTCTCTTTAGAACCGGGTGTATCTATCAAAACGATATTTTTTGGTAGAATGCAGAGGGGGTAAGGACGTTTCACTTGTATGACACTGTGAGAGTCGATGTTGAGCTCCTTCCTTTCTGCAGAGTTTGTCATTGCAGAAATCTTACTCAAGAAGGCCTCTACGTCCTCTCTTCCTCTTCGCTGGTTTAAGAGTAGCTTTTCACAACCTACTTGATCAACACTCCACTCATCAGCCGTAGGGCGAACCTGAATTTTGCACATTGTTGTCTGAACAGTTGTAACGGGAAGAAAGCGGTTTCTGAATAAGGCGTTTATCAAGGATGATTTGCCACTGCTTGTACGTCCCACAAATACAATGGCTACATCTTCAGATATCGCTTTTTTAAGTTCTTCTCCCAATTTATCCACCGTTTCGTTTAAGTTGTCGTGCAACTGCTTCATTTTCTCTGGTTCGCAAGGAATTTTACCGTAGTACTCCTGATCGAACTCACTACAGACCCCTTGAACTTCCTTAATTGCTTCAATTAAACTCCCAATATTTGCCCCCAAATCCCCCTTAATTTTCTCGGCTGTTTCCTCGATGCCATCCCCCTTTTTGCTCTCCGACACAGGTGATTCTGCGGTTGCCATTGCTTGATTCCTGAGAAGTAAAAAAAAAGGGAACTGATCGTCACCCCTCCCAATTTAGATAATTACTAATGTTAATCCTCGAAGGTAGAGTTAATATACTTGTAAACCATTGACAGGGTTCATTCAGCAGTCTGAGTTTCCGGTAGTAAGCTTTAATTTTTTTTTAACAAATTTCAAACAGAATTTTTTCTGTACTTTCATGTAGGGTAAGCTTGTTCGCCACAGTGGCTGTCATCTCGATGAAGCTCGATGGTTGCAACTTCCAACGTAGATGTCATCATCTTTGGTGTAAGAAGAGGTCGTTATGTCTTTGCAATGTTGCAATCCTTTTGCTGCCGTGAATGCAACTGTTCTTAAATTCAAAGAAGGCTCCACACCTCGCAAGTTTTTGTATTTGCAAGCTTTGAGCTCTGTATCGCGAATTAAATATATTATGAACATAGCTCGATAAATGTAAGGAATTTCAACTGTACATAAAGGCCGACTTCATAGCTAGTGACTATCTATTTCCCGATCTGTTTCGTAGAGTAAACTGAATACGTTTTATGCCAGACAAATTATCTTATTCCTGCTTTTCTTTACGAACGATATCTTCACATGTATAACTGTTTGCAAAGATTCCTGTAATCGTTTGATAATTGGCAAGCTTAAACAAAAAAGTCCAACCGCCTTCGGTTACTCTTTTGAACTTTGGACAAAGTTGCCTTTCAAAATTCCTCCTTGTATGCTTCTGTTTAACAAAATTCAAACATATCGCCTCAGAGCTGACTCTGCGAGCTGGATTTCCTCTTTCAGTTTTTCTCTCAAAATTGTGTAAAAATTTTGCTTGTATAATAAATCCTTCGGTGTACGATAGCTTAGCTCTTTTTCAGCGTTTTTTTTTGTTTCGTCGACCTCAAATTTCAGCTCGTCCATAAATACACAATTCAATACAGATTGGGAGATATTCGCCCTTCTTTAAATTTTCCAAATAATTCGCTGTTTGCTGAGGTCGACATTTTTAGGAATCAATTAAGTAATTTTGTCCACTGGAGTTTGCCTTTGGTGTTTTAATACATTAAGAGGGGCGTAATTTCGTGTCATAGGCTTCGAAGACCTCGAACACATCTAACTAGACAAACCGGGGGAAGATGGCTAACAAATTCAACTAAAAAGAATGCGATTCAATGGCCTGCTCCCACACCCGACACATTCTGTTTGGCCGACATTCCGCAGGCGAAGAATGGTGAGATTCAAATTGTTGTTTATTTCACGCGCTTGAAATGTACTCACAATCCTTGTCTTTCCACATGACTACACTTGCGCTTCTATTTGCCAGAGAGCGAAATGGGTCTCTTAAATTAACGTTTATCTCTATTTGAGATAAAGTTGATTCAGATGACTATAGACTCACTTGTTTCCCGTTTGACCGACCCGACAGCGATAGCCTCTGCCTTTGCAATCTCTAAGGAAAGGAACAACTCGCAGTAAAACTGTCCGATGACTTCTCGGCGAAAAATAATTGTGCCTCGTGATGCTGCTGATTCTTGCAATGCTGCCGTCAAAAGTTAGCTCTTTGTTTGCCGAGGAAATTACTCTACAGCAGCTACGACGACGAAACTCTATAGCAATGGGCAAAGGAAATCCTTGCAGCTCTTAGTGCGAAGGAACATTATTATGTAGTCATATAGTTATGGCAACAGAAACGAACACAGCTACCCATCCTTTACGTATATTTCGCCACAGAAAAAACAACAATTCAGTAAAGGGAGTTTTTTGTTCCACTCTTGACCTGAACACCGCAGGCAAGAAACTGCGTTTGTCAGTAATAATACAAAATTACATGAGATAGAGTGAGAGATTTTTAAGTGTCAACTGAGAGTTTCTACAGTTTTCAACCTCATCACCCTCTTACTCGTTGCCAGTCCACGAGACACCTTAAAGACAAAATAAGCGCACTTTACGGCCCGAAAAAGCCCAGTTTTTTTTTTAATTTTTTGACTACTGGAACTATTTTGTACATATGATAAGCTAAATAACTACGCAAAAAAAAACGTGTCATAGGCACTTTAAAGGGCTAGCTCGAAAGCCTCATGCTTCCTTAATCCTCTGGGCTCCAACAATGATTAGCTATGCTTCTTTAATATCGCTTATTAGTCACAAATAATTTTCTAATCTCGTTGCAATTCCTTTTTTCAAGACTTATTTGGCGTTTTAAGATATTTCGCCATTACGCCGATCCACCGTTCCTCCTTTCCATCAATCGATTGAATAACTCAAGGTATCGTCTTTCGCAGCATGCTTGCTTCGCAAATTTAGCGGCTCTTTTCGATAAAAGTCGGTGATTCAAACAGGAAAATGCACTCTTTTCAAAGAAAAACAAACTTCCTCGAAGCTTCCATGATGAGCAAATCACATCTACTGAGATATTTGTGCTGTCAATATTTGACCAACGTCACCATTTTTCCCCTTAGCTAGCGAATCACGCCGCGTTACGTGGAACAGTTCTCGCATATTAAGTATTTACCTTCGGTTCGTTGATTCTTTCCGAAACGACTTCCTACCTTAAATTTCATACTTTTGCGTTTAAGATCGAGCAAAACAAAAACAAGATTTGTAATATAAAAATTATGAAGGACCCATTGCGTAAATTAGAATTACACATATGTGGATAACTAAACAGAAAATAGCCCTTGAAGCTTGTTACATAACTACAATAAACAGGCAATTCGATGAAGAAAGAGCGTACCCATATGCCGTTTATAATATTGCTCTGGGTTAGGATCAAGGGCTTTTTTTAATTGAATGGCTTATGCTAGTATGCTATTTCTATTCACTTTCCAACACTTAACTAAGTTAAAAACACATCTGCAGAAAATTCTTGCATGATACCAATTTTGTCTTTTAACAACATTCCTTACCAGGTATACAGGCACTATAGAATGATTACAAAGAGCCGTCGATTCGTTTCGTTCAGTAAACAGGTTGAATTTAAGAATTCTGAAGAAGGAAAAATGGGTGTGTGATATTCGAATATCATTTCCTAATAGCATCCACTCAAATAGACCGCCTAAATAGCAAGGCACGCTCGTATGAGATCGGCAGAGCATCTACCGCCAGCAGTTTGACTTCGAAGAGTGAGAATAAACAATTCTTTCATTCTTGTCTTAATAATCATGCATTTAAAACCGTATTAGGCAAAAGCCCTTATAGCAGCATTGAATTTTGGATTATGGATGATCTCAAGCTTTCTCATAACTAAATGATCTCTCGATCAAATTTTTGCTCAAAATGAAAACATCACTGCATTTTAAAAGTTACTTTAAACTAATAGTAGCACAGAATATCCTGGTCACATGAATAGCATACAGTAGCTCTTTTAATGCTAGACAATGCATGAGCTAAAGGAAGAAATACCTGTGTTTATCCTGCTATACTTTGTGGATTGATAATGGAGACGTCTCTGAATAAGGAAAGAGGAGACAAACAGCTCAGCAAACTCAGAAAATTTAGATCGTCTAGTTTTCAATGTCTCGCCATTATATGCTTGCATAATCATTTCCTTTCTGGTTTCTAGCTAACTGAATTTTCCACGAAACGAGCTATTCCGGCGTCTTGGGGATCTATTGCGTGCTAACAGCCAAAAAATGAAGAATTATTTTCAGCGAAGAGCGACTATTAAGGGTCAGCATTCTCACCTGATAACTTCTAGAGATCTCTCCAATTTCATCATATCATTTAACAACAAACAGTCCCTTTAGTCACTTTCGCAGCTGCTCTGTTTAGGATGCAAACATTGCCCATCGAGAAAAAGCAATGGTTTTTCACCGATGAAAATCCCTTACCAGGTATACAGGCACTATAGGCTGATTACAAAGAGCCATGCATTTTTGGGGAGAGTCTTGCATCAGTTTCGCCCTCTGAGACCCGTTCTTATTGTAACCCACATGTGAAAATTATCACTGACATGAATGGCTGTGCTTAAAAATCCTTTCACCAAATAATGTCTTAGTTTAAGTTATCTGAGCTTGATTCTTACTTAAGGCCGTTGACTCAAGTTGAATCAAGATACACCTACTTAGCTATTCCTCCCTCTCAAAACAAGAAAACGTAAGATGCTACCTCTGTTTTTCGAAATTGATTTTTGAGACGTGTCATCACAAAATGAGTCGGAGAACAACTTACCCAGGTTTTAAGCTTCTTTTAGAGCCTCCGACAGGATTTTTATAATCGATGATGTCTTAGTATGGTGCGCCTCTATAGTTCAAGTATTTAGCGCCCAGAACAGGAGCAGTTTTAAGGCCTGAGTCAAGAGGGCAAATTGCAAAAATACAGCCGATTGCGCTGAAACTTACAAGGACGATAATTTTCCATACGAACTTTTACCTTGAGACCATAATACTGACCACGAAGGTCACGTGTTGGATCGCGTGATCTAAACGTCAATCAATCAGTTTTATCGGAATTGGTAATATATACACAGACTCGTCACTAGCCAATAAATAAAACAAATACTAAGTAAAAACTACGTTTGGAGTGAATTTCCCTCGCTCGTTCAGGAAGAGAATTAAGATTTTTAAGAGCTGCGAAGAAACTTTCGTAAACTTAATGGCATTTAGATTGTTATCAATTGCACTTGACACATCATTCCAAACGTGAAGACAAATACCTTCTTCGTTTTTGTAAAAAACAATTGCGTAAAATGAAAACTTCGGCACCGGCGGGAGCCTTCTAATTACTCCTTTTTGAGTTATGAAAGAGGCCGCCATTTTATTTCTTTTCGATAATAACACAAAACTGAGACCATACATAGTTAATATATATATTTAGGCAAGCCTAAAAGCGGAACTCTTCTTAGTTTATGTTTCAGCCCTTCACTGTAATAAAACCTGTTACAAAACTCTTCAGCACTGGCTGTTGAAGAGTTTCTTCCAGAGAAGTTAGGGAACAGTCTTGGGGGGAGGGGGATTTGGGTAGAATTAATGGTCTGGAAACTCTGGACGATGTTCTCACAAATTGCACAGCGATCAACACGCATGTTAGTCAGTGGTAGACCTTCGTTACTCTTCCTGATGTTTTGAGCAAATTTTCGAAGAAAGAAAATTTTTTTTCTTCAGATGAGGTGTATGATGTCAGCATCAGTTAAAATTATATGATATTGAGCGTTATTGATAATTTCGGTTTGGTAAAATGAGCCAATATTGAAAGAAACGACGGTAAACTACCCCAAGTTAAGACATCACCGGTCGACTGAAGAGTCTACACGTGAGAACAGTGAGTCAGTAAAACAATACGCTAGAATCGTATGGGCTTCTCTTATATCTTCTCTTTAAGTTCCCAGGTATGACTTTTCAACCACTTCTGATGAGCGTAGAAAATTAAAGAGAAAAGTCATTTTCAACTCGTGTAAATCTGTTATTTATTTAATTATTTAATTTTTCTCGCTGTCCTTATTCGATTGTCCTCTGGCTGGAAATACAGGGCGTCTTTTTGAGATTTTTTCTGTTATTTAATTCGGTTACCTACTGTGACTGCAAATAATGCAGGTGTCTTTCAGCTAACTTTCTATGGTTTTAGCAACTCTAGCTACTGAAATACGAAACTTGTCTAACATTTTTCTTGCACTACGAAAGTTTGATTTAAAGGAAGGCAGGGTAGAACTAGAATATAGTAATTGAAACTCGATGACGAAGAGAGACCTAGGATTCGACCATGAAGACATTTGTAGAAAACGTGAGATAATACCTGGATTTCCTACCGTATGTACATCACAGAAATTAATTCCCAACATCAATCAAGTTTCTCTTTGGTTTAAAATTTGAGTTGATTTTGTTATTTGGTATATTTCATTCCTATGTAAAGAGTTTCATTTGACTATCTAATGGCAAATCGTTGTATTATATTTTACAACTTGCAAACACCATTACAAAATAATTAGTCAGTGAAATGGAAAATTTGTGGCATATACACCATGTTTGAAATGCCATGTTCAGACTAAACTAACAGGAGTGAGGAAGGTGTAGGTTGAGTTAGACTCTTGTTTGTATCATTAATTTGCTTATCACTCCTGTTGCCAATGTTTTGATGAGGCAAGACAGTTAGGGAAAAAAACTGAGGATTTTAGCAGGCGAAGTGACTTTTTTTAACCTGGAAACTATCATCATGAAAAGCCATACTTGTGCCGGGTAACTCATTCTTATTCTAATTGACTAGTTTGAAGAAGGATGCAATAATTAAATAAATTTGGTGCATAAGCTGTGCACAAAACTTTAATTTGACTATACTTTTATAGCCAATACCAATCCCTTCACATACATGTACTGAAAATTTGTTAGTGGGGTCAGAGGAAAAATTAATGTACTATACATCTGTAAGATTTCTTGTAATTATTTTAATTACATGAATATTAACTGATACAACATGTAAGAGATCTAAGAATATTCAAAAGAATAAAAAAATTTGGTTGAAAATTTAGAATTCAGCATAAATACAGGCCGGATTATATAACACAAGATTCTTAGCAAAAGTAATGTGTACTCATTTGTTTGACTTATACACAAGTAAATATGGTAAGCAAATTTTTTTGTAACACCTGCCTGTACCCGTAATTGGCACATAGTAAAGTCATTCAAAGTAGTCAGAATCCTTGTCTTAAAGTTGAAAACACACGCGCATGCAGATTTCCTATAAAACTGTAGTTCAAGCTTGCCATGACTTCAAAATTTTGATGCACAACTCAAAAAGAGAAGAAATAAATTACAAGTTTCTATTTATTCAGTTCGGGTAACGTTGGTGAGAAAAATTGGATCAAACTTTCATATTCAGAGAGGATCAAGAAATTTTCACAACTCACTTATAAGGTTAGCCTACCTGGAACAATAACCTTCATGTACAAAATGGACCAGGTTTGTACTGATAATGGTAAAAATCACAATTTCATAAGAAAATAATGATCAAAAATTTGTAGCAAACCACAGCCCTGGGTCAGCCATTAATCTTAATCTTGAGAGAGTGTTTTAAAAATAGCAATTTGCTCATATGCACAAAAGAACTATCTATGATAAGAGGGCAGACTTTCCTTTCCTCATTTAGGAAAATATCAAGGTTATCATCTTTCCACAAACTCAGTAGACAGTGAGAGTGAATTAGACTGGTAGTAACTATTTTACTTGAGTAAATATCCAGAGGAGGATAAAAAGTAGGATATGGCCTGCATAACTCTCTTATTTTGATTTTTTAACCAATAAAGATAACGAGGATACCATGTACCATGTGGTACCTTACACAGCAAAATTATATAATCACGCAATTCCAAACAAAGGAAGTCTGGTTATAGGGCTTAAGGTATAAAAAATAGATATGGTAAACAGTTAGATTTAATACAAAGTTAAAGTTTGAAAGCTACAAGATATACATTACAATCATCAGACCCTGTGCATCCTAGCAAAAATAGGGTCAATTACTTAACCATAACTTCTCCCAAACATTCATGCCTACAGGAAATAATTTTTGTCACAAGGTGGTACTGTACTTACAATACTTCCACTACCACAAATGTTATCTCATAATATGAATGTACGGGCCACCACTTCAGCGTGCTTTTTTTGATGATGTGTACTTTTATTATGGTCATCTATTTTTAGTATCTATCTTTTACCAGCTGAAATCTGAGAAGGATCAAGTCCACACTAGTTATTTGACACATTGTAGGCAAACCTTACAACTGATTAAATTTTATTTGATCAAAAACATGAAGGACAATAGAGGAAATTAGCTGGCACAATTCAAGTTTCCTTTCTTAAGTATTGTGATCTTTTTTCTATCATATGATAAAGTTTGTAGATTCCCTCATTTCACTGTCTTCTATTCATTTGTTTGGTTGCTTTCCTAAAAATCCTAACTACTGTTGCCAACAAATGGGAGGAGCATATGAAATGTGTACAGTTATTAAATACATTATGTAATCAGTTCTATATATGTAGTGTATTGCTTGAATATACATTAGTATATCATTGTGGTAAGTGCAATTTCCCAGTAACCATTATTCTATGGTCTTCTACTCTTCCACCTTTGTGGGTGCCTTGTGTACCTAGAATAACCACAGCCATGCAAAAAAATCTTTTTAAAGACACCTCTACACAACGAACATGGATGGGTGAAGCATGTCAGGCATCAAGGTATGATTGTCATTTTGCTTTTCATTACTTGCCAACAGCTTATTTTAAGCAGCTTTCAAAACTTCTTTATCTCCGCTTTCAAGAAAGACATTTCCCATGAATATTTAACATTAAAGACATAAACTGCCAGCAAAAGGTTATTCCATTGTAAGTGTTTCATAGTGACAAGTTATTTCAGGGACAGTTTTGTGTTGTGACAAAGGATCCAAAAAAGCAGTGATGGGTTCTTCTTCAATGGCCTCTCGTGGTTATTTTCAACCTCTTTAACAGTTTATTACTTTAAAATCGTCATGTTTTTAAATTCTCTATAAAAATATACGATTCCTTGGCATGTTGTAAAACTTAGGTTAATAGTCGTTAATTAGATAGAGGATATGACCTCCGAGAGCGTACTATTACCGATTGTTCAGGCACAAGTACAAAGACTAATAACAGCGGTTCGTGGGCACTAATTTCCCATCAGACTTGGTTTTATTTGACAAACTATGCGTTTAACGCGCTCAAAATACCTGATCAAATACATCACTGTACGTAGGCAGAACCAGTTTGATTATTTCATGTTGTAACACTTTCTGCTACATTCTTCGAATCATCTTAAGTGGTAGCGAAATATCAACTCGTTTGATAAATAATCAAACATATAAGACAAGAAAGAAGTCAATTTTGAGCATCGAAACGCTTCACCACATTGGAAATTATTAACAACAAAATGCCGAAGCGGAAGTGCGTACACGGATAGAGGGTGGTGGACTCAATGTCTGAACTTTCGCGGTTTGTTTACATCAAGTGAAATCTAAAGCCTAAAAGGTGAATTAAGCGTTGACAAAGCTAACTCTTACGCATGCATCCGGCACCACTTTCTTGTAGAACAGACAACAGTGAGTTTAATCGTCAAATACAACCCCTATGAATCCCAAGCGCTGCTTGACGATGGGCTGGGGTTTTCTGTGACAAAAATATCACAAGCGCTGTCTAATGTTTGCTTTCTATCACTGAGTAAGACAACTTGAATTCATCTTGGCACAATCAATTTCCTGTTTGCATACTGTCATCTGATCTACGATTTGCATAACTGAAATGATTTATTTGACATTTCCTTTCTCTGTACAAAGTCACTAATAGTTTTACAAAAATTCATAGCAAAATTTTCAGCTAAGAAATTCAAGGTTGTGTCCAATCTTAGCTGAAAGATATCGGAAAAGCCCAAATAGTTGCAATGTAGCTGTAGCTGTAAAACAAACAGTTTCATTTGGTATTCCTTGTGGAACTTTCGCTTTTATCCGTTATTACGGGAAGGGATTTGAAATCCTCAAATCGACCTTTTTGAGAGGTGACTCTGGGCATCGCCAGTCGTCTACAGAAGCGTTCACAAGCTA